CCCTCTCAAGACTGTGAAAGTATAAAGACACCAAAGAAAATTCTTGAGCTTGTAAAAGAAATCATTAATCCATTGCTAATACTGTTCTTCTCCAATTTTAACTCAGCAAGAGCAACACGTATGTGCCAATGAAGGCATGACTACAATAGTCACAAATGTATTTGTAGGAAACAGATCTCTGTGGGAAGACAGTGCTGTCAGCTGCAGTGCTGTGACCCTGACTCTTCTATATGAAAGAGATATTAAGGAATGACACTGAGTGCTCAAATCCTTTCTCAAAAAAACACTTAGAAGATTATAGCAGTAGAGGAAAATTGTCTTCCCGTTCCTCTCTTTTTGTTCAGACAACTACACAAAGCTACATAACTACACATGGGAAAATTCTCCTTTAAAGAAGGAATTCTGTGAATTACAGCAATGAAGTAAGAGTTACATTTGCCAGGGAGACAGCAACCTGCTGAGAAACAACTGCTCAGGACCATCAACATTTACCATCGAGTAACACCATCATGAGCTTGGTGGGGCAGGAAGGAACGCATGGTCTGTGCAACCACGACAACCTCCAGTCTTCACTTCATACAAGATGATGGTTGACCAGCTTTCAAAAATATTAATAAGATTAAGCCATAGTAATTTGTTCACTCTAAACCACAACGAGTGGAAAAGCAGATGCAATGCTCAGCTTTTTACACTGCTTGCTCCCACTGCAGAATAAAGCTTCGTGTCTGCAGCGTGATGTCCTCCACATCAACAGCATCACGCCGCTGAGAGAAGCCTGCTCTCTGCAGCATGTTCTTTGAGAGCACTGTTTGAAGGGAGCAACAGCACTGCAACCTGCAAGAGTGGGGCACGTGAGCATGGAAAGGTGCTCTGTCTGTGTACCTCCCTTGTAAGTGGATCTCTGTTCTCGGCCAGATCTCAGGACGAATGCAACACTTGGAAAACATGTTAACACACACACAGACACGTTAGTCAATGTTCCATAGATATGCAGCCCACAGCCACTTTGTCTTATATGCAGGGAAGACAGAAAAACTACTATTATGTATTTTAGAGTTCACAGGAAATTCAAGCATACTAAAATGTAAACGTTAAAACACATATTTTAGTATATTAGCATTAGCTACTCAAGGTTTTTCAGGCTCAAAAAAATTACAATAAAACTGGTGACTCAAACTGTTAGTATTTCTCTCTTAAAGAAATGATCCTTATGGTAGAGCAAAGGTTTGAAGCTTAGCAAATGTGGCCTTCACAACCAACTCAGACAATGCAAAATCCAGTGAAGCTTATATGCTTAGCCAAGAAACCCTATTTAAGAGGGTAATTAATCATCTGCAAAAGAGACTTGCTGCACTAAATATGAATAGCAACTTCGTAATTCAATACTTTTGAAGAATGAAAGGGGGCAGATTACCAAACACAATATGTCAAATACTAATACGTAGGAAGACAGCTGAGCATGAATACAAGATAAAATCTTCCCTTGGAGATTACTGGAAATTTCATTTTCCAGCTCAAGCCTCTTTGTTGAAAAAGTTCCCCAAATGCTATTTATCACCAGCATTTACTTGCTGTTATGGCCAGCCCAGATATTAAGTAAACAGCAAGAGCAACAAAATTTCTTAAGAAAGAACTTTTTGTTCTGTTATGAGATTACAAGTTTCTTCTCCAAATTTAATACAGGAATACAATTCTGTACTTCAGCAGTGTGACCCTGAGTGTCATTGGTTGCTTCTGTGGCATTGAGAAAGCAACAAGCCAAACGGGAACATATAAATTAGAACAGACAATTTTAGACATTCGAGATGCTGTAGGAAAAACAGTTTTATCAAGGTGAAAACCTGTTTGACATATAGCCTATTTTGGTGTTCCTAAAGTGGCCTTGGTGATGAGGACCTGAGTCATAAATTTTTTTATTACTTTCTGTCTTCCTTCTTAAGTTGTGTTGCTAAGTTTTGTTTTTTGGTGGTTGTGGGTTTTGTTTTCTCCCACAGGTAGGTTCACTGTTAGGGATTTGTGCTTGGTTCTTTTTACAAAGCAAGATTTAAACTAAACACTCTACAACCTATCACAAGGCCACAGCAGCCACATAAGTAAATCTACATCTGGTTTTGATTTTTTTTTTTTTAACTTCCCATTTAATATTTCGGGATCTACTGGATTACAGTTCCTATTCCCAGTAAATTCAAATGTTGTTTTTAAACAGTTTAAGACACACAGTTTAAATCCAGTGAAAAGAGACTGATGTAATTTATACTAAGATAGACTGATATAATTATACCAATCTATACTCCTTTATGATTTCCAGGTAGTGCTATTTTTCAGAGACAAAGCCACAATCTGAACCTCTCAACCAGAAGACAATACCTCCATACAGAGTGCATCTACATTAGTGTCTTGATTCAGAACAGAAACATGGTTTTGAAATGAATCTTCCAACTGCCCCACTCACCATGCTTTAGTTGTACTGGGCAGCAAGCTTGGTGGGCATGAACTACACTCCTTGGGGATGAAACCAAGCCAGAAAACCTGCTCAAGGAACATGTTTGATAAGTTCTAACAGCTAATAAGGACTCAAGGGCCAGAAACATTGAGTCCCAACCACAAGTTTTCCAGCACACAACAAGCACTCATGAGCCACAGACAGCTCTCAAAACCTAAGTGCTCAGGCAAAATCATGGAGTGCCTGTCATGATGCATAATGGCTTTGTAATTGCTGTGACCTACTGGCCACTGCTGGGCTGCTACACTCCTTACTCATCCATACAGTCGATACCAACACCAACTCTGGAACTTGGGAGATCCAGGATAGATCCACAGTACTGCAGAAGACGCAGTACAGGGTCACACTGAGATCCAAAGAAATGGAACCTGTAAACCTGTGCTGTGAGAAGTCCAAAAGCTTCCCTGGAAGCAACAGTACTACCTTGTGGCTATATCAGGAGATTGCAAACCTGATGAGGTGATCAGTGTCAAGTCAAGTTTAAGAAGCTGAAGGCTGCATGAGGCTTCTGAACCCTCAGTGGACTGTGGAAGCTGTTTTCAATCTTCTCTGCTCTCAGTTCCTAATATCAATACTGTGCTAAGCTCTGCCTGCCCCCAGCAAAAGGCCTATTACATCTAAGTGCTCTGCCTTTTCCTGTTGCAGAGGTCAAAGTCCAGAAAAGACAGTTCCCCAGGGTATTCTGCTGAATACAGCACGAATGTAACCTACATTGGGACTTGGATGAACACCCTGGTTCAGAGCTCACCTTTCTCTGTTCCTCACAGGACTCGAGGCAGCTTATGCCAACAGTCCCACCACCCTGGAAAGAACTGTCCTTGAGAACCTTGAAACAGTGGGCAACACGGCCATAAGCATGAGCCAGCCAGCTGCACTGTGTCTATATAAATGTTCAGAGACTGCTCCTCTCTCCTCTGCAGATCTAGGAGCAAGAGGCTCTGAAGAGCAGCAGTCCCTTCCTCTCCATGCCACTCCTTGCCCCTCTGGTGCAGAGAGCAGCACCCTGTCATGAAATGCCATCCAGGGCCACATGCTCTACCACCTCAGCTATCAGAGGCTGTGCAGAGCACAGCAGCCATCCACACTTGAGACTGATTACATCTTCCATCTTCCTTACAACGTTAGCAATATCTAACTACTTTGCTTTTCTTACTGTATAAGATGCATTCCCTAAGACACAAAGAAGAGGTTAATGAAAGGCACAAACTGCAAAGGCAAGAAAAATCAGAAAATGTATTTTCCTACCCCATACACAAAGCCTAACTTCCTAGCAGGACCATGGCAGCATTTTCATCACACACCTAAAGTCCAATGCCCAGCAAGAAGTGCAGGATATTTCTCAGCATACTTGTAATGACCAAAGGACAGCAGAACTGTTTCTTTCTCTATAATAAAAAAAAGTGCTTCACAATTCTTAACTAAGATTTTTTTTTTATCAGAAGAATGTTTACTGCTGTCCTTATTCCATAGTCTCCTGATCAGTATGAAAGGAATTAGGCTGGATGGCCATAATTTTTTGTGTGATACTGCTTGATAATAAATAAAAATTACAGGAGAAACTGACTAAATAAGACAAAATGAACTGAGAGTTCAAGGGCAGAAACCTGACTCTGTAGGGGCTAAAAGGACAACTCTAGGGATGTGTGTGGAGGCACCGAGAGTTGACTAAACTTCACATGTGTATAAATGAAAAATGAGAGCAGTGTTTGGGGCAGGGGAGAAAGGTGGCTGAGGAAACACAAAGAAACAACAACACAGCTGACCTCCAGAGCTTCACGTTGCACAGCTAATAACCTCTAACAGTAAGGATGGGAAGACTGGCATTTGTGGGAAAACAGGACAGTTTATAAAGGGTTTTGTCTGTGACATAGTCTTGACAAGAAAGAAGCACACGCTGTCTTCTTGGCACATGAATGGACTCCTGAATACTGAGACACTCTGGCCACCAAGAGAAACCTGTGGCATGGGAACACTAGGGACACCTGGTTGCTGGGTGGAAAAACAGGGCAAGTGCTACCTTTTATTCTTTGATTATCTACTCTCATAGCTGACACCATCACCTGCCAGCTCTTCTACACGCAGAGGTTTTCTTACCTGCACACCTGTATAGAGTATCATACTCTGGCTACAAATGGTAGATCATTTTTCCCTTTTTTTTTTTTTCCCACACCTTCTGCAGAGTCAGCATACTATTTCAGTAAAACAAACATAGCAATACGGGTTTTGTTTGAAAAAAATAGCCATTTAGAAATTTAGGAAAAGCTCTCAAAAGTGCAATGATGGTATGACACTGGAGAACTCGCAAGAGCAACATTTGATCACTTAGGCAGATATTTTCAACTTGTGAGTTGAAGTCTTACTCTTCCAAGGATGGTTCTGTTGGAATCACCGGGGTTTGATGGGTCATGTGAAGGAATAGCACTTCCTGAACTGGAAGTAACAGGAATGTTAGACAGCCTCACCCCATCTCAGAAAATCAGGAGTACTCTAAATGTACCTTGTAAACTGAAGTGCCTCCAACGATCCAAACCATGTCTACTTTACTTTTTAACTCTGGTGAATCCACAAGAGCTAAAGCATCATCCAGACTTTTGGAAAGGTAATGCGCTCCCTTTGGGGTTTCCCTAGGAAAAGGAAAGTTTTATTACTAAATCATTAGAGGATTGTTCATCATGATAATCAGAACAATAAAGACATATGAAGTGTTTTGCTGAATTCACAAATAACTATCTGCTCGCTAGTTAATTATTTTGAAATGCCTATTACTGCTAAACTACATTAGACTTCTCATCTGACCTCAGGATTGTCTAATAAATCACAGTTTAATCATAGCTGTGACATAGGCATTACAAATTACAGATCTGAAATTTTATATTATGTTTTTAAAGAAGAGTCATCAAGAAATTTACATATTTAGAAAATTAAATTTAGATTTTTACTTGAATTCTAGAACATTAATATTTCATTCATTGAAAGCAGTCGAAAAGCTCCTGTCTTCCACCCTCCACCCCGTCCATATTCACCACCAACCACCCAACATCCTCAAAAGCAATAAACCATTATAAATGGGCATCTTTGCTTAAGATAGTTGGATGACTGTGGGTGATGCATCTAACAGAGCTCTGAAAAAGGAAGAAAGCTATTTTTCCTTAAATGCTAATAAAAATAAACTTGAAATAAGGGATTAAGAGCCACCAATCTAACCAGGAACTAGAGAAAAACAGTTGAATACTCAAGTCAGAAAGTCTACTGACAATTATCAGATGGTTTGTGTGTAGAGCTACAAATAGTATTTATTATGCAAAGTAATAACAATTATCTTGTGTATTAATAACAACAAAAAAATAAAGGTAGCGACATAGCTTAGAACCAACAGTAGACATGCTAGCTTGATATCAAAAATGTTACTAATAAAAAATGTAGAATTATTTTATGATGTATTGCTACACACAGTTTTAGGTGCAGACTTGTTTGTTTTACAGGCCTCCATCACCATACGTACTTGAGCTCCCTGCTGAGTACTATATTTATTCTGTCTTTTAAAGGACGATTCTTCTCAGGAATGGAGAACCAGGTTTTTTTACCCATTATCAGTGCGTTCTGTTTACCTGAGTAAGAAAGAAAACATTTCTTTAAAGGGTATTTTTGCTCTGTCCCAGATCTGAGTTGTTCAGTGACACTGCTGGTTTTTCCCTCCCCATTCTGAACTCTATTTCTAGCAGTCAACAAAAGTACAAGCTCAGGCCCCAGTTCTCAAATTAGTCAAATGCACAGAAGAACATGTTTATGGCCTCAAAGTCAGGCAGTTGACACCAAAGTAGCCTCATGCACACCTATAAACTTATAACTGAAAGAAAATCAGAAAAGGCATGTCACTGCCAGCTACATGTTTCATATTGGCTCTACTTCCACTACAAGGACAAATCAAGATCAATTCACACCTTCTAAAGAGTCTTCTTAGTGTGAAAACCCATCATTGTTCTCTTTATAGAGCTGAGCAACACACAGTAATCGATATGTGTTTGCATGCCCCATGCTTCCAGTTATATGATCAGGAATTGACAGCTTTGAGTGTTAGTTAAGAAGGAAGAAAAAACATCATCAGGTAAAAGGATAACTTTAGAAGAAGAACCAGCCAAATTACATTGAAGCAGAAGTGCAACAAAGTTCAATAATATTCTAGGATATAGATTTTAAAGAAAAGAGTATTTCTTCACAGCTATCCTGCTTGTTGATCTGAGAGAAGCTGGATCTACTGGGTCACAACACAGAACTGATGCTGTAGTCATCTATTAGCAACATCTAAATATTCTTCTCCTGCAAATAAGCTTCATGAGCATGTTTCCAAGAAATACACTGCAATGTCAGTTTGGGTATGATAGCACAAGTTCTGAAAAATACATGTGTTTTTTCACTAATCACACTGGGATGCCTGCAGGGTGGCAACAAAGATTTGTCTACACAAATGTTTGTTAATTTACAGCAGTGACCAGTGCAGCTGTACAAGCAGACTAAGATCAAGATCAGGTGATGCTTCTCCATGGTACCCTTCCCACTTTCAAAAATCAGTGACTGATTTTTTTAAGCCAACGATTATATCTCTGCTGTGAAAATTTATGGCAGCATAATCCATTAAGATGCCTGGTTAGGAATCAACTCCCTAGCATCTAAGGTCATAGCTTATCAGAAGATTTGCAGGCAACATGGGGCAAAATTTTTTCCTTTTTATTCTAAATCTTCTTTTGATTATGGGGTATTTGTGGCTGGTAAGATGTAACTTGCAGACTTATAAAGACTTAAAATTGTCTTCTCTCTTTTTGACACATGAGGCTGCAATGGGCTGAATCAGGTCTCCAAAATCTAAGTAAAATCATTAAGACTGTTGCAAAATGAGATTAGACATTCCTTGAGGAACAGTAACACATCTTCAAATCAGAATATGGGCTAGGTCACTTAATCTAAACAAGGGCACATGCTAGGCTGCTCAGAAGTTTTGGGAAAAAGGTGAGTTTTGCAAGACAGCAGTTTTAACAGGAGCATGAAAAAACAAAGCACAGTAAAGAAAGTGACCACGATGCCAAACAGAGGAGCAGCAGAAACGTGAGGATAAACCTACTGCTCTGACTCCATGAGATGCAGTAGCGTGCTGCATGGCACAGGGAGGTCCTATTCCTCCTCTCCCTTTCCTACCATGCACCCTGTACTGGCAGCCCCAAAGACAACCAGTAGACTGAGAGAATTCAAACAGCTTAAGGAAATGTTGAAACAGCACTAAAGCCAGTGTGAGAGAAACGGGGCCAATACATCACAACATGTCTCTGCTGGCAGTGCCAAGTACCCAGTCAGAACAAATTAGCCTCTTCATCTTTCGCACTCCTATCCTCATTTGTTTGTGCTGATTTTCACAAAATATTTCACCCAGCAATAACTGGTTTTAACTCACCAAATCAACAGTCTGTAATATTGCCTTGCTGCAAAGGTCTTGCTGAGCATGAGCACTACTGCAGCATGGCACCAGTACATTTGCATGCTGCTGCATGCAGATAAGGACATACTTTTGCAGTAGTGTTGCTGCCCATTAAGAGTTTTCTGGCGTGTTGGGAGGGCTCAGCACTCAAAAAATCAAGCCAAGTTACTGTCACAAGGGTCAGAGGGATGGAACAAATGGCCAACAATGAGCTACAGCAAACAAGCTGGATAAACTAATGCAGCCCCACAGAAACCCCTCCACTAGACTAACCAGCCCACAAAACACCTTTACATTTTAATCTTTTCAGGGTTAGATTTGGAGGTAAAGAGAGGTAGCTTAAGTTTTCTGCTCTGTTGGGGAAACAGAACTTTGGAACTCTTTATTTACAAATCCCCTGCGGCTCTGAAACATCCGATTGATCTTCAGTTTCTTCATCTAACTGAAGCAATCTGCTGATGATGCATTTACAAAGAGACAAATACTTTTGAGGCTGGAGAGGACAGGCTGTTGGCAGAAGCAGGACCTCTAAATCAGGGAAAAGTAAAATTACAGGTGTTCTCTGTGACTAGTACCACACAAACGAATCTTATTACACCGAGGCACACCTCAGCAACGAGCAGAATGTTACCTTCCACACGGGATGTGCTAGTCATTCTCTGGAAGTACTTGTACTCGTTCCTGGCAAGAAAGCAAGAACAGCAGAACAGTGATTTAGAAACAAGGGACATTCGTCTAGCTGGAGAACGATTCGCCACGCAGGTGCCGCCAGCGACCGCGGAGCCGCGG